TCAGGTGAATGAGTTGCATGGATTACAGACATACATAAAAAACATACATAAAATGTCAACACACACACACACTCTTATGTTAGTGGGAAACTTAGACAAATGAACACGCAGTGTTACAAATACCTGAATTTCAAAAGCAGTCTTTATTAAGAAACCAAACAAACAAAAAATCTATTATTCGAATTCATGCTAAAGAAAAGACATTGCCTTTGCATCAGATTAATTCATTCATATGAAATGAATATAATATAATCAAAAATATTTAATGTGCACATATCCTTTTTTCTGTTTTGTATTAATTATTAATAATTAAATACTAAATAAACATCAGTCTGTCAGACCTACACTGCTATGCACAGTTACATATAGGCATGCAATAGTTTCCCAGTGATAATGTCTGCATTGATTTAGCAGAGATTTTTTCTTTCATGCAAATATTACAAAATACCAAACCATTCTTATGAACAATCAAAAGTTATTACTTTTCTTTAACCTTATATTAATTTTATTATTACTTCATTAATAAATAATACAAAATAGTGTCATCTACACAAGGTCACATGACAGTCTAACAGAATGTTACAATTTTTCAGAAATTCATCTAACATTGTCGTGTAAGACTGACATTGCAATCCCAGGAACCACACTGCCAGTGAAGCTAAAAACTAAAACCTTATTGTGTTTACTTATGGTTCCATTAAAAAAGAATAAATATAGTTTTTTTATAACTACATTTTGCATGCATTTGATTATGTCCTGGTCCTGTGGATGTAATATACTTGAAGCTGTATAACATATCCACAAGTGTATTAGAGGCAGACCATAGACTGTTTCTGTAAATCCGTGCGCAGGCTTTTTATCTTTTTACAATTAGTGAGTTGACACACTGCCAGTTAAAGCCTTCCTGCCTGTCTCTTAAACTGCTGGCATTGACTACTGTTATCATTAATTTAACACTTTTTATGTAGTCAGCATCAGATGACTTATTTTTAATGCTGGCAATTTGGCTGTATTTTAAGAAAAAAGTGATGCACTTTAAATTGATTGAGACTGGGTAGTTTAAAAGAGCAAAATACAATATGCTGTGGTTGTAGTATTTTGGTACACTTTTGTCTCAAACTTTTTTACACTATTAGAAGATAAAGAATGAATGTAGAAACTGCAAAACAGCGACGTTTGTACCCATCGCTGTTTAAAAAATGTTTGCACCAGGGGCCTTGGGTCCAAGAAAGACATTCACCAAATACCACATATGCTTTGTCTATATAGTAAAACGCTGCCTGCTTTGTTGTATTGGATCAAAGCTTTTGAGGGGTGTTTGGAGGGGGTGTTAGGACAGACACTAACTGAAAACCCAAAAACCCATGATCTTCCTTATACACTATATTGTGGGCTTTGCAGGGCGAACAGCCCTTTAGCTTCCTTCATAGCCCTGTAGCTGCTTGTGACGTCAAGCAGAGCATGTTCTGCTCTAGCAAGGACATCTGTCTGTAAGCGTCTGGAGGGCCGCAAGCAGTCCCCCAGGCCAGGAGCAGGGGGAGAGGAGAGAAAAGACTTTGTTAAAAACAGCAGAGATGGAAAACGGCAGGTTGGCCATCATGGCTCCTACAGCTTATCCTCCTCTTCACTCCAAGCGTGTCAGACCGCTCTAAGGTTCTTTCTGTATTTTAGACATTTTTGCATCATAAGGGGGCATACTGCTCTTTCTTCTGTGATAAGAAAAACCCATGTTATTTCTTACTTACGTCTTGACAGATACTTTAACGAATCTATTAAGGGCGCAGAGCTCGAGTTAACTTATAAATAATTCATGATGTTGGGAAGCAGGTGACTGAAAAGAACAAAAAACAGTACAGTTGATCACAGATCAAATCAAGAGGATTTTCCAATTTTTTGCTATTAAAAATATGAGTAATAAAATACGTGAACTTCATAAATTTTAAACATGCTTATACAACAGGTTTCTTCTTGTCCTGGAACTTAATCTGCAGTACAATGTTATAATAAATCATTTTTAAAAAGCTGTTTAAATCCAGTAGTCATAATTTACATTTACAAAAGCAAAGGAACAGTTTAATTAGAACAATTGTAATATTCTCATTAACTGTTTTACCTTACTTTATAATTGCCACCTGCGCGTATATAAACTTAGATCTCATAGCAAAGCTGTAGATTGATTTTCTGGGTTATCTCAGAAATGTTCTACATCTCCTGACCTTTGCTAATAATTTGACTTTACAAGTCCCATTTCCTTGCCTACAAAGGGCATACCGGCAGACTGGAAGCACTGGTATTTAAGTGACTTCAGAACAGCAGATATTTATGTGGTACCATTGATCGGACTTGGCAAATGTATGCATCTTGTCAGCTGGTTATTTTTCCAGTCTGGGAAGAATTCCAATGGTGACCTTTGCAGTTTTTGGCAATGCTTGTACCTATCGCTTAACAGTGCTGACAGCGTACTCCAGAAGGTTCAGAGCGATTATTGCACTTAGAAGTCACGGTTCTGCTTTTTTTGTATTTCTACAAGATTAAAGAATGTGAAAAGATGTCCTCCTGCAAAAAAAATAAAAATAAATCAGCAGCATTGTCAGTCTGTAAAATCTTTTTCAGGAACGTCATAAGGAAAGATGAATAGCTCTGTTTGTAAAAACATACTAGAAGAGACTGACGGTGTATTTAACAGTATGGTGTCAGAACCTTGTTACTGGATCTTGGAAAAGGTAAATATTTTTGCTGCTACCATTTTTAGTCAAGCGGCTTTACTGTCATTCCAAACGTGCAGTGGTACAGTACACAGTGAAACGGGACAACGTTCCTCCAAGGCCATGGTGCTACATATAACACACAACAGACAATCAAGAATGGTTTACAAAAGGGGAGTTCATAGCATTTGTACACCTCTGTGTGACCATATGAGCATACATATGTAAACATTTAAGGGTAGCCAGAGAAAGTTGTAAGGCAAAGCAAGTCTGCCCCAGCCCTACTCAACTCTGGCTTGTATCCACTGGCAGTCAACAAAGGAAGGTAGACTCTGCATAATGGCACCAGATTGAAATCAGAAATAAGTCTCCCACTGTCACGGCGGCCACTTCACTGACGGGAAACGCAGACTGGAGGGTTGCAGATGGTAAAATGAAGTCTACATTCATCATACAGTCATAAATCTGAAAATGCAGGCAGTTGCTGTGGGCGCTGGGAGCCCATGCCTGGTGCCAACTGCCAGCCAGAGTTGCCGGCATCCTGGTGCCATCAGTGAGATAGCGGACCTCACTCACTCTCTTTCTGTCTCTCGCTCTCTCTATGCTCTGTCACGGCTCACTTTTCAGTGGGATTCTTTAAGGTCAGGCCTGAAGAGGTTTGTCTGTTGTTTATGGCAAAGCCTAATAAGGATAACAGTGATAATATTAATGCAGCTTTTTCCATGTAGACAGGGGCAAAAATCATATCCACTCTGTTTGCCATATCCAGCCACAATCCTTAGTGTGTGACTCTATTCTAATGCCTGTATACATTTGCATGACTTTAAGAGCCTGACTCAACATTTGTCCAAATTGTTACTATTAGTCAAAATCTTTATTTTGACCACAATCCAATGTAAAAGGAATAAATAAATGTAGTTTATTCATTGAGCTGGTTGGTACTGCTGCTATTATTCCCCCTACTTTGTGTTGTCAGCGTGTTTGAATCTTTCAACATTCCGCCGTGCTAAATGTGAAGTGGCAACACCCTAAAGGGCATGCCTTGCCAGCGGGATTTTAGGAAAAAATCAGAAGCAACTGCATGCACATTTAAGATCAGACTTTGTACACCAAAGCAACCTTTTACAGAGCGCCATCTGAAAGTAACATGAAATTTTCCCCTGATCAGACAACATACATGCCTCACGCAAACACCAGTGCCCAGCGAACACATGCTGAGAGATAACATAAAAGAACATGAAAGACATCAAGGCGCACATTGATTGTCCCTGTACGCTTCAACCCAGGCCTCACTCCCCCAGCGGGCAGACACGCAGGCAAGCTGGTGGGTAGGCATTCCCTGTGCTGTGGCCAAGATTGATAGGCATGTGTGTGTGTGTTGTGTGTCTCTACACTTTGTTTGAATGTTGAAGGGAGTGCTGACACCCTCTGTACCGTGGCCCCAGGCCCTCACACCTCCACCCAATATAAAGGGCAGCTCCCAGCAATGCTGGATCCCCCCTCAACCCTGAGGGTAGGCATGACATTACCTTGGGCAGTGCCTCCCCGCAACCCCCACACTCCCTTATAACCATGTGACTACACACACATAGTCTTTGAGAGGAGCTCGGTTAATGGCTGAGAACAGTCTACCATTTTGTTTTGCTCAGGAAATTCTACTTATACAGTAGAAGTTCAAGAAATCTTTTTTTTTTTTTGCAGTCTCCTTTAATTCTTACATTTGATCTTAATCGTATATGCCTGACAGTTGTTGTTGTTTTTTTGAGCTAATGATTGCAAGTCATAGTTTGGGGGTTAGTATTACTGGCTATATGTAACTGCTATGGTGCCCCTTTATTTGGTTTTGGGTTCATCACAGGGAGATGGTGAAGGTTTTGCACCATCAGTATGCACAAGTAAAAAGTTTAATTTCAGAGTTCGAGATAGAGTTCAACATTTATTGTCAATGAAGAAGCCCAGTTAAATTAGGAATATGTCAACATTGAGAGTGACATTTAAAACAATACAGTGATATTGATGAGAGATCTGTTATTTTATACTTTAAGTATAAAAGTATAAAAAATTAAGTATAAAAAAAACGATCTCTCAGCATTATGAAAGAACAACAAGTACAACAACAGCAAGTACATTTGGGAGGAGCATTAAGCTAATGTGTCTGGATGCACTGCCATGATGCAAATTTATTATGTGCATAAGACTTAGAAGAACTGAACAACATGTGAAAATGTGGAAATATTAGATGTGAATCTTATGTTCATAGTAAGGTCTGATTGTTTCTTGTTATGTTTTCACTAGATGCAACAACAGGAACTGGCCCAGATGAGGCAGCGGGATGCCAACCTTACAGCACTAGCCGCCATTGGACCCCGAAAAAAACGTAAAGTGGATTCACCGGGGGCCACACCATCAGGGACTGAGGTGAGAACTATATTGTCAATGTGTTTTTTTGTCATCACCAGTTTGTAATGCTGACTTGCTATCGATCTTTGGGAAATTAACAGTAGAGAATTTTGGATTTAATCTAATTTAAT